TTTGCTGTGTTCAGAATTGATTCAGCTGCAGAATGAGTCCTGTCATCCTGACCATCAGAGCCTTCTTTCCATGCTCATGRACAGACTCACTTTTACTATACAATGTCTTGTTTTTTTTTTTCCCCTGGACAAATTTCATTCTTTTATAATCAGAGTCCTGACCTGCTAAAACCTACCCTTTTAAATTCAATTGCATATTATTTTCTAATTGTTGAAATTGTCTAATTATTATTGTAAAACAGAGCAGATTCTGGTGAGAAAACACGAAGCAAACCAGAATTTCCATCAGAACAACCCTGGGAAAAYAATCATTACCCTTTAAACAGATCCAATCACAAAGCACAATCTATTCCTGCAGTGCGAGCCAAATAAATCTGTCACATAAATCTGTTAGAAAATATTAGAAAAATTTAATTTAACAACAATTTATTGACAGATAAACCCAACTCACCCGGTGAAAGCTGCAGGGAGAGCCCCTGTCCCCAGGCAGAGGGACAAAGGAGCTTTTCCTTCTCCCTGTGATGACACCAAGAATGACTCTCCCCAAAAGAATGTTCCCCATGAAGATTGGAGTGCCCATCCTGCAGTCAAATATAGCCACTGCCATCCCTGCTGGGGACAATGGGGATGGCCCAGCTGGGGACATTCGGGGCTGTGGCTGCGGTGCCAACCCCTCTGAACCCCCCCAGATGGGGTGACAACACATGGGTGCCTCCAAAATATTTTAAAAACTTTTTAATATATTATTAATACACAATATAACAGCTTTCAATATACTATTTATACATATTAATCAAAATATGATTAGTATATATTAATATATTACTATATTATATTGATACTAAAGGTATTATTGAAAGGTATTATATTGAGATAAAGGTATTATTAATAATATCTTTTTCATCTATTGTTTTAAGTTTTTATATRGGGTATTAGTAACATACAGTATATGAGTTAGATAAAATCACAAAGGGGCATAAATCAGAAAAAGTTTTGAAAAAATTAGACAGGTCAATGCTATAATAAAGAACAGCAGCGAGCACTAGTGAGAACTTGGCAGAGGCATAAGACAGTTAGTAAAATAATAGAAAATAAAGACTTAGAAAACTAGAAAAAAAACCTATAAATATTACAGCTGTGCATGCCTTGAAGATAAAGATAAAAAGTCTACTTTATGATGAAGAAGATGGTATTTTATTAGAGGGAGAATTCTACGGCCACTGAATTGAGGATGACACGTGTGTACTTGTGGAATTGTAATATTAAATATTTCTGTGCTTATATATAATAATATAAATAATGCTATAATAGATATATATTATATATATAGTGGTGACATAGTGACAATGATAATGTTACACCATGCTCGCTGTATAATCCCAGAGTGTGGGATTATCCTCTGCTCCTTCAGGGTAAAAACTCACAAAGTTTCTGATTCTAAACTGAATTTGGAATATTTTAACCCTTGGGATAACCTGGCCCTGGCTGTGTAATGCAGTGAAATCATTTYCTTTGCCATCTCTTCAGTGAATGCCAACTCCAGGCAAATCCTGGCAGTGGCTGATTACAGACAGCTCAGCTCTTGGTGGCCTGGGACTCTTTTATTTCCTTTTTTTCTGAAYAAACAAAGGCTTGGTGCCTCCAGAGCAGRTGAGCTTTGTGTATCCAGCAGGATCAGTGCTGATTTTTTGCTGATTTTCCACTGATTTGGGAAAGTTTTGCAGTTCCAGAATTCGGGGAGAGCCCTTCCCAGCAATGTGAGAAACGTGATGTTTCTTGTGGTGTCAGAAAGTCTTGTGGGAATCAATTCCACCATCAAATCTGGCACAGCACCAGCAGGATCAGCTTCTAGGAACCGTGTTTGCTTCACCATCCAAACAAAGACAGCCAGGATTTCCAGGGGTGAGGTTTATTCAGTGGCTTTTCTAAGAAAGCAATGGACAGGAAGGATTTGGTGTGAGCTGAGATGTCCAAGGCAAGGAACACTTTCCTTTCTGTGGTTTTGGATCCACTCAAGTGCTTCCTTGAATTTGGTTTTATGAGAATTGATGGGTAATTATCATAATTATCATCTATTCTGCTTAATAATAATAATTAAATTCATTTTTGTCACCTCAACCCTCCGTTGCGTGTTTCAAGAAGATTCTTACGCTCCCCTCATGTGAATGCTGCCCATTTTTGTCACCTTTTTCTTACAAAAATATTTTACAATCCTGTCTCACAGGTCTCATTATCTCAGTCTGGGGAGRGAGAAGGTTTTTTAAACTTTTGGGGATATTTTAAATCCTCTGAGCCTGTTGAGGGATCTTTGCAGCACCAGGAACTGATGATCCCTGTGACTGCAGCTCAGGGTTTTATGAGCTCTGCTTCATTTTCTCTCCAGAATTTGAAGCTTTTCCTTTGTCCCTTGAGTAAAATTTTCCTCACAGAACTTGCTAAAAAACTCATCCATGATTTTTTCACGGTGTTCAAACACCTTCCAGTGGCAAAACAAAGAACAGACAGKKCKGGAGAACGGGATCCTGGCCTTGCAKATTCCCCCCAGGGCTGAGCTCGGGCCAGCTCCCAGATTTAGCTGGGAAGACAAAGAGCAATGTTTGGCTCTTGGGTTACAGCTGCCACCTGCTCCTCGGGTGTCCTGGTGCCARCTCTCACCTGTCATCGGCGTGACATCTGCAGGGGACACAAACACAGCCCAGAGCTCGCAGAGCTGCTGGAACAGCCTGGGTGGTGGTAGGAACAGATGGGAGAACTTTGGAACAAGGCTGAGATCCTGATCTTTATCTAAAAATGTTCTTAAACAGGAGGAGGTGGAGATGAGGAGGTGGAGATGAGG